AAAACATGTAATCCTATCACATAATGCAAGGTTTCAATTTAAAACTAATCGTAATAATAATAACAAGTAGAGTAATTTATATTATATTTAAATTACATATTTTTTCATTCATTTTTAGTGTGGGAATCCTATTTAAAATGCCCCTTGCATTTGAGATTATGATTTAGGAATCTATATTCAGCTCCTCTCTATAAGAAATATATTTTTTAATGCCTATTTCTAGAATTCATAGTTTTACAAAAAAGAAAAAATTTATTCCTGCCTAAAGCAAACATACATTTGGATTGTGAAATTAAATCAAAACTCTTGGAAAACTTTCGTTCTTGTGAAATAATGAAAAAAGCGAGATGGAGAGAGTTGAAGTTTGTTGAAATGCTCTGTTTCTAAGCGTTCCACTTTGGACGTTAATTACTATGTAATTTTAGCACTAACAAGTGCTGGGTTTTACCTTTTTTCTTTCTTCTTTATGCTTATGAAATTTCACGAAACCACATAGAATTTTCATTCGATTATTTTAATGAAATTTTGACCCCCATATGAATGCAAATGGGACCATTCAGATAAGGTAACGAAACAACATGGAATTTTCATTCGATTATTTTAGTGAAATTTTGATCTCCATAGGAATGCAAATGGGACCATTCAGATAAAGTAGCGAAACAACATGGAACTCTCATCCGATATTTTCATGAAATTTTGACTTCTATCTATGAAAGCAAATGGGACTATTCAAATTAAAGTAATGAAAGAAAATCTCACAATTATGAAATTTGGTAATAACACAATTTTGAAATATGAAAGGAAGAAATTAGATGGAAAAAATCAAAAGGAAAGTGATCACGTATCTTCCTTTTTTTCTCTTTTCGAGGATCAACAATTGCAAGAAATGGGGCCAATCAATTAACTAGTAGCTGTCATCTCATTATAAAACTAGAGAAACATAATCCCCTCCTAAGCCATTTTAACTCTACCAAACAATTAAACATACGCACTTGTGTGTCTTTTCCTTCTTCATCTCAATCATGGCCGATGCAGTTGTTTCAGCTGTGTTGGAAAAATTGACTTCAATTGCTCTAGATGAAATAGAGACAGAGGTGAGGCGAGTTATCAACGTTCGTGGAGAAGTGAACAAGCTTAGTAGCAATTTTCAAGCCATCAAAGCTGTTTTGGAGGATGCGGAGCGGCAGCAGCTGGAAAAGGGGAAGGCCAATGTTCGAGATTGGTTGGGCAAGCTCAAGGATGTCTCTTATGACATCGATAATGCATTGGATGAGTGGAGCACTGCAATTCTCAAGTCAGAACTTGAACCGAAGCCGAAGGTATGTTCCTTCGTCCCCTCTCCTTCCTATTGCTTTAATAGAGGGAAACTGCTTCTCAAAACTGCACACAAGATACAGGCTTTGAATGAGAGGTTGGTTGGTATTGCAAATGAGAGAGAAAGGTATGGGTTTAAGGTATTAAATAGTGAAAAACCAAAACGTGATGAAACCACTTCTTTCATAAATGTAGCAGAGGTGATGGGTAGGGTTGAGGATAAGGAGAGGATAGTAAATATGTTGCTAAATGAGGGTAGAATTGACGAAATAGGATCAAAACTTCAGATGATCTCCTTGGTAGGCATTGGGGGGATTGGGAAGACTACCCTTGCTAGACTAGCCTTTAATAATGAGGAAGTAAAATCTCATTTTGAAGCAAAAATATGGGTGTGTGTTTCTGATACTTTCAATGAGATGAAAATTGCCAAAGATATTCTTAAATTTGTGATTGGTAATGGTGATAAGGATGTTATTGAGAAATTGCATAAATTGAATTCTGATGTTGAAAAAATGGATAAATTGAGGGATGCTATTGTAGAAACGGAGAAGTTGAGGGATACTATTGAAAGGTTAGACAAATTGGAGGATGTATTGCTATACCTTAAAACCTCAATCGAGGGTAAGAAATTCCTACTTGTCCTAGATGATGTGTGGACTGAAGAGTATGGAAAGTGGGATCAACTAAAACACTTGTTGTTGAGTAATGGTTCCCAAGGAAGCAAGATCTTAGTGACCACCCGTAAGGAGAAAGTAGCGGTAAGCATGGGTTGCGAATTGTTCAAAGTGGGACAGTTATCTGGAGAAGAAGGTTGGTCATTGTTTAGTCAAATTGCGTTTTTTGGGAGGTCTAATGATGATTGTAGAAGTTTGGAAGAAATTGCTAGAGACATTGCAAAAAAGTGCAAAGGCTTGCCACTTGCTTTGAAGACATTAGGTGGCCTTATGCGCTGGAAAAAAAGCATAACAGAATGGCAAAGTGTGTTAGAAAGTGAAGTATGGGAACTTGAAGAGGCTGAACAAGGTCTTTTCCACTCCTTAATGTTTAGTTATTTTGATTTACCACCACACTTGAGGCAGTGTTTCTCATATTGTGCAATCTTTCCAAAAGACTATGTGATAGAGAAAAAAATGTTAATTGAGTTATGGATGGCACAAGGTTTTCTCAAGGGGACTCAAGATATGGAGATGGTAGGGGAAAACAACTTTAATGACCTGTCAATGCGCTTCTTATTTCAAGATTTTGAAATGGATGAAAATGGTGGCATTATCAAGTGCAAAATGCATGACATGGTGCATGATTTTGCTATGTTTCTGACTAGAGGTGAGTGTTTGACAATGGGAAGTAGTAGCAGCATTCAATGTTTCAATGGCAAAACTCGTCATTTCTTTTTGATGATGCAAACAGAAGAGACTATTGCTATTCAGACTTGCACTAAAAACTTGCACACTTTGCTTATTGAGCCAAATGGAAGAAATCCTATTTCTCATATTGAATTATTGAAATTGTTTGATAGACTTAAATGTCTCAGGATATTGAAATGTTCAAATTCTAGAATTAAAAAGTGTCCAAAACAAATAGGCAAATTGATACATTTGAGGCATCTTGACTTGTCAAATAATAGGGAGTTAAAGAAATTGCCTGAGGCAGTGTGTGACTTGTATAATTTGCTTATACTAGACATTAGTGGATGTGACAGACTTAAAAGACTTCCTCATAGAATGGGAAATCTTATCAACTTGTTGCATCTTCGGAATGAGAGGACAGCTCTGAAATTCATGCCTAAAGGCTTGGAGAAATTGACTAGTTTGAAAACATTGAATGTGTTTGTGGTAACTCAAAAAGGAGCTACACTAAGTGATTTGGGGAACTTGAATCATCTTCGTGGGAGTCTTACCATAAGAGGATTGGGAAGTGTTAGAGATCAGAGGGAAGCAGAAAAGGCGCAACTACAGAATAAGAAGGGGATTACTAATTTGACTCTAAAATTTGATTTGGAAACATTAAAATTTCCCTTGGGGAAATTGCCTTCTCTAGAATCACTCAAGGTGGATGGTATGTGGAAAGTAAAAAAGGTGGGAGTTGAATTTTTGGGGATAGAAATGTCTTTGTCTACATCTTCATCATCCGTTGTTGCCTTCCCCAATTTGAAGACACTGAAGTTTAAGCGAATGGATGAGTGGGAAGAGTGGGAAGAGTGTGATTATGGAAGCAGAGGAGAAATCATGCCACGTCTTTCTTCCTTGACAATTTACGAGTGTCCGAAGCTAAAAAAGTTGCCAGATTATGTTCTCCAAAATAGTACCCTGCAACAATTGAAAATTAGTTATTCATCAGATGCAGTCATTTCAAATCTATTCAAAAAGGACTGCAAGCCCCATATCTCTCGCATTTCTAACATGGATGTGGAAGGGGAAAGAGGTACTTCACTTTGACTTTACCTTTTTCATTAACATTTTCAAATTTTTTGGTAAGCATCAAGAGTAAACACATTACTTAAATGCATAAATTAACAACAACCGAAAGAATAAAAAAAAAAAAAGAGGCTGAAATCGATCCTTTTGTGTTCCTTTTTTGTTTTAAAAAAATTATTATATTGTAGTATAAGGTGCATTATATTATAAGTGAAATTTAGTGTATAATTTTAGAAATTTAATTTAAGATATATATTTTAAATAATTTAATATTAAGGTAGTAATATAGGGATAATATTTTGTATAATTTTTTATACAATTTTTTCATATCATTAAATGTATAAATACA